ATGTACGGTACAGCAGAATGCAAATAGATGCAAACATTCCTGAACACCTTTACCAAATTATTTATGAAGCATTGTACAGCTCTTCTATGTTTTGTACTGGCTGAATTTTCTGAACTAGTTATCTCACAGAACTAATAGCTCAGCTTGGATTTTACTATGAATAACTGGAATGTGTTCAACTCTGCAAAGGTATAGTCACATCTGGCATAGCAGCATAAGCTTGTAAAAAATACTTCTGGACATCATCCCCATCTGAGCAGATTCCAGTTATCATTGAGGATAGAAGCAATCCCAGTCTGTAGATGTGCAATCCATCAATGATACCTTCATTTGTCTGGTGGTCCTGTTTCATTATCCATGTTTCTTCTAAACTAGTTTTTGACAACAGTCTTGCTAAGATTGTTAAAGTAGTCTTGAAGGTCACCCACATGTTGATTACATATCAGTGCAAAGTTCAGAATAGTTTCCTCCAGCGGTTTCTTCTAGATGTTGAAGAGCAGAGTTGAGTAAATGGTATCAGTGCAAATACCTCTATCATTTCCTATAGGCCAGCTCTACCAAACCTGGTGTTCTTGAAATAGATTGGACTACAGGGGCAACGTCCATTCTGGCTGGCAAATTATAACATCCAACACAACTGGGGAGTGCTAGTTTGGGAAACCGATATAAATAATAGTCTGATATGATGCAAATTCCTATGTTACATTTGAATCCACTGTATTATAGTAATTCTCATAGATGCAGATCCAGTTTATTGCAACATTCAAGATCATCAGTATTCCTTGATTCAGACCATACGTTGTTTATGCTTGTGTGGCTGTGTATGTGAGTGAGAAGGGGAGAGAGTCATGTGTGGTTCTTGGTCCCATTTATTTGCTAGCCAGAACAACTGTGATTTTGTCTACTTCCACTCCTAAGAAGGCCTTGTCTCCATGTGTGCCAGGCTGCAAGCTGGGTCTGTTTACCCCTCTGTCTGTGGCATCTGGAAGTGCCAAGTAGAGGTGGGGATAGTCAGGATAATGGACCCATTCTCTGACACTGGCAGGGACTGGACCCTCTTGAGCCCTGCAACGCAGCAGGTGTCTTTTGCTGCCGAGACTGCCTGTCTGTCAGCCAGTTGTGTTGCTGCCTCTGTTTGCCCAGACTTTGCTGGCATGAAGTATTGGCAGCCGGGATAATTCAGCAAGGGTGGGGGACCAAACTAGTTTGGAATTCTCCCATCTCTCCAATCCTAAAGTCTGCAACACGGTTGGTCTTTGCTTTCTGTTTTTTACCATTTTTCCATAGTGATCACCTTCATAATGAGGCAGTTTCTGTTTTTGTAAATGGCTAAGGAAATACTGACTTTGCTCAAGGTCCTTCAATGCACTGCTGGCAAATTTGAGTTTTTAAATCTAGAGCTCTCCAGAATTAAGCTATTTCACTCTTGTTTTCAATAATTGGAAGGACAGGGAACCAAGTTGGGGAGTACCTTAAATCTGTCTTTCCACCAAATGGGGCTGTAGGCAACCTTTAGCAATATACATATTATATAATATATAATATACAACAATAAGATAAAATTTAAAAAAACATAAAAGCAATTTGTGAAAACAACTGGTAAAAAACCCTCAATCGCCTCATGTTTAGAGATCAACTTATGGGGCAAAATCCTTTCTAAATTAAAATTAAAATATTAAAATATCCATACCTACTGATGAAGATCTTCAAAGATAGAGCTAACCAAACCCCTCATGGCAAGGAGGCCCAGAGTCTGGGAGCCATCACCAAGAAGGCCTTGTGATTTAGGTGTTGATGATAGACGGGCATTTCCTGAGCAAGCTTGAATAGGGTAATTTACCTACCCCCCCATAAACTGGTTCCAAATCATGCAGGGTGGGGTCCCTATCTGTGGATTTTGAGACATTTTAGAGGCACCTTCTCAGGATAGTTGCCATGGGGGCTGTGGCCAGTCACAAAAAGCTCATATCCTAAGAAAGCAAATGGAGCTCTATGCTGCAGCACGTACCATTTTATTTTCACCCTATGCTGCAAGGGTCTATGTGGGACTGAGAAGCATTGTTAGAAAGAAGGATTATGATTAAGCTGGCCCTTTGCTTTGCAGCCTGCTAACTTTCCATTCCTTTTTTAAAGAAAATAATTTTAATAAATGAAATTAGGTCACAACCAAAACTGAATGGGCCAGTAACTGGGCTGCTTCTCATTTCCAAACAATGAGGTGCAGGAATGGGAACTTCTCAGTTCAAATTTTGCCACGAGCTCCCTGATACTTTTTCACTAAACTCTCCTGCTGTTACTGCAGCAGGAAGAAATCGATACCGGCATACTTACTATCATCTTTAAGAGTACTGTGTTAATGCAAGAGAAGTGCCACATGCGTTCCAAGTATTTTATTTATGTATAATTAAAATAATTACCATTATTTAGGTTTTCCTGCATTTAAAGGCTCCTGTATATGGTTGCATTGTTGATGGGGGTTTTTTTTAGAGATTTACCTGAAAAGACAGATGGGAAAGGCAACCAACTAACATCTTCATTTTTCTGTTTTTTTAACTTTGTTTTCTGCCCTGACTGGGAAAGTTGGCTCCAGCTGATTGTTGCAGTTGTAATAGTCTAAAACTCTTCTGGGTTTTGTTTTGTTCTGTTTGCGGGTGGCAGTTCTGATTTATGCACACATACAGAAAGGCATGGGCACTGAACAAATTACTGGTATTTTATTTGTACACATACATTTGAGTAGGGAATGTACTCTGTTGTGTGCATGTGTGTTGATGTGATAGATATCACAATCTCCTAATTCTTTTGATTATGTAGCTGTATCTCTTTGCTTTAGCATTTGAAACCAGTGTTCATTTGTGAGCTTAACAGCTTTTCAGCAGCAGGAAGAGAGACTTCATCTTGTGAGTGGTAACCTGTAAATGCTCTTTTCCTTCCAGCCCCCCCCCCCCAATATATCTATCTACATGTGGTTAAGTCTCTGGTGATGAGCACACCTGGCCACAGGATGGCAGCCTTGTTCCATAACGTACCCTCTGGGGGCATCTAACTAGGCAACACTATTCCAGAAGAAACTGAGACCTTCAGATAAAGGACATGTGGAATAGACTTGAACAGAAATTATGCAGCCCTTGCACTATGTAACTAGTGACAGAATCTGGAAATGGGCAATAACAAACAATGTTTCCAGCAATGGTAAAGTTGGCATGCCAGAAACGTATAAGCACAAGGCATAAGTATTGTTTCAAACCCTAAAATAGCATGCAGTCACAATCTTACTAACTAATAGAAGAGCAAACAACCAAACTCAGCACCAAGGATTCCACTTAATAACCACATTAGGCACAAGGAATCTAGCAATGGTTGATTTCGAAGTTGGGTTGCTCCCTGCCAATATCTCATCCTCTAGTCTGTGGAAATCTTATCTCAGTCTCTGAGATCACCCACTTTTACCCAAAATCATCATTTGAAATATATGCTAATACAGTATTTCTATTAACCACACAGATATCCCATTCTTTGCCTAAGTTGCTCAAGGTGTCATATTGTTTTGTCACCTTGTTTTGTCCTCCCAACCAACTTTGGTCTATACAATTAGAGGAATGAGGTAACTCATTCAAGGAGCAGATCATTGGGAATGTCAGCATGTAAATGACTTCTTTCAGGGTATTCATTAGGGGGCAATAGAATCAGAGCCTCCCATATAAATATCTTCCACCTTTCCTTCTCCATATGAGCTAGACTACCCTAGCCTCCAACTCATCTAATCAGACATCATCCAGAAACGCCCAACTGCAACACCCATCACTCCTGGCAAGCTTTTGAAGGTTGGGCTTGGCTTAAAAAGACAGGCAAGACACTTGCCCAAAGCCACCATGATCAATTGACCCAGCAGTGTAACAACAGGATATGCCCTGCTTCAGTTCTGCAGGATAAGAGGGGATAGGGAAGGGAAGGAATTGCTCTCTCAGTGGTCCAGCAAAGCTTTTCCAGGTGTTGGCTCCCACACAGTAGTAGGGTTGTGGAGGATCTCTACTACACTTCAAGCATCACAATGTCTTGAGATAACCTAGATTACTCGGCAGGTTTTGTAGTAGCTAGGTTTTTCTGTAGGCCAAGTCTAGGAATTTCCCTCCCATCTTCATGCCTTTGTGTCATTTTAAAAAGTTTGATTGCCTGTTTGTAAGCATAGTGGAATGGGCAGATGTAATATAGTGGTTTCCATCCTTTTGCCCTCTGTTCAGATTAAATTACCAAGATACTTGGCGTCTATTTACCCACTGTGTCCATTTACACACTGTATAGCTGCTGTCTTTCACCCTGAAGCTCCTCATTCCAGAAAGGGGATTGGTCCTACTTTGGGGGTGCACCCATCACAGGGTTTATCCCTGTTGCTGCCTTAATTCTTGTCTCTTGGGCCTAGGGCCTGTGTGTTCCAGTAGGCTTGTCTGGTGCCCCTGTTGTATGCAAATAGGATTCTCCAGTATATGTTGGAGGGAGATTGTGCCTGGGCAAGTTGGACAGTTTGCTTGCCCTGGAGAGGGGTAGAGGCACATCCATTCTCTTCTCTCACGCTCTCGTGTGGAGGATAGGAACTGACTGTATGATACAGCTGAGGAGCTTTGTCATCCTTGGAGGCAATCATTTTCTCTTCACACACCCCATCTATAAACACACTGAGGTATATACATGGACCTTAGGCTTTTCTGTGTACATATATGGATTACTCTCTGCATCGGTGATGTGCATGAGCCAGAGGACAGAAAATAAGAAAATGGGGTTTGCCTGCACAAATTAGCATCCTGAGCATTTGTTTTTATTGGGTTGGTTTGCATGTGCTTAGCTTGGTTATTGAATTGATCCTTTCCTGGATTCACACAATATATTGAAAAATAAATTAACCAAACAAGCTGGGCTTGTGCATCAGGCCAAGGCCACCCTCATCCCCCCACCACCACCGGCCCCCAAAGAAAACTAAAAAAGATTAAACTAAATAAAACCATTGCAATTGCTAGGTCTTTCCCTGGCTTGGTTATGTGTGTTGTGTAGCAACTTTCTGACCATTGTGGTTCTGAATATGGACTTGATAAGACACAGCCAATGCTTGGTGAAATGTCAACAATCAGTGAGTGAGTGAATAGAATGTTTAGTAATGTTTAGTGATTACTCTGACTAGGACATTCTTCCCTCCAATCATCCTCTGGGCGGAGCTAATATGAGTAAGCCACACTGCCACCTGCTGCAAAGAACTGGTAGTGTACCTCTTCCCCAACTCTGTGACTGCAAGATTTGGGAGAATCCAAGGGTTTGGATTTGTTCCGATTTTGCCTGGTGTGTGTTTACATTTAGCAGCTTTCATCTAAAATTGCCAGCAAATCCCTTTGCCCTCTGTTCAGATTAGCATCAGGGACTTGACCTCTGCTTAATTTTCAAATGAGGATTACTGCAGCTTACATTTCCCTTGGATCCTTGATCTTGAGATGAAATTAGATGGAGCTGATATGGTCAATAAAATGCACTCTTCAGATGGTCAAAGGCACAGCCTTGACAGAGAAGTTCCAGATAATGCTTCACGCAAATGGTGATTTAGCAGGTGTTATCCCTAGGTATCCTGATGAGAATCTAAGATAGGAAGTGAACACAGACAGCAAAATACTTTCCTTTCTGGAACGCTTATAATATTGTTTCCAGAATCCTAAATTCTGTGATGAATGTGAGATAAAGGGCTTGTAAACAGCTATTCACTTATTGCACATGACAGAGTACAAGTTTTTGTAAAATGGAAGGAAGTTGGTTTTTTGTTTTCTTTTCTACATGGGAGAGTGGGCCCCAGTGGGATGGGGCCTGTTAGATCGGCCTACCCCATGTGACTGATGGACCTGGTTGGGTTTCAGAGGGATCTTGGGTTTTCTTCAGTGGACAGTCCAGCTGAGGCTCTAGTTGCAACCTGAAATGGGCATGCAGCTGTGGCCTTAGACCAGATTGCCCCTTTGAGGTCTCTCTCCCTGCGCAGATCCCAGGGTATGCCTTGGAGCTCCGTGAAATGAAGCGCAAGAAGAGATGCCTGGTGTGCCATTGGAAGAAGATGAAGAGCAAACCCCATCAAGCATGAGTAAGAACCTGTATTAGGGATTACATTGTGGTGAAAAGGGTGGTGAAATGGTCTTATTTCTGTACTCTTACTGTATATTCCAGTAGCCACCCAGCAGTTGTGTTTAGAGCGATCATACCTCCTGGGGACAGCTGCAGGACTATCTGCAGGGCTGCTGTGGGGAATATTCTTGTTATTTGGCAGATACAGTCACTTGGATTGCACAGAGTTGGACTTTGATCGGACAGAATCCAGTTGAGATGCCCAGGGCAAGGCACTGTGTTGTTATCTGGAGCAACTTTGATTCTGTGACTCCCAAGAAAGTGGACAGGGTTCTCCAGTCTTTTAGCTCAGCCCTCTGTTTGTTAGATCCAGGTCCCTCCTGGATGGTTCAAGCCACTCGGTGGTGTCAGCTTCTTTGAGGGAGGAGGTGGCTCCCCTCACCCTTGAAGAATACTGGTGCATCCTCTCCTCAAGAAGACAGTCCTGGACTTTGTCATCCAATCCCCAACCTTCCCTTTCTAGGGAAGATGGTGGAGAGGATGTTGAGTTCTAGCTCCAGAGGGCCCTAGAGGAAGTGGATTATTTGGACTCATTTCAGACAGATTTCAAGCAGGGGTTTAGTATAGAGATGGCATTGGTTGCGCTTGTTGATACCCTGTGGCAGAACCAGGATGAGTGTAGTGCGTCCATTCTTGTGCTTCTTTCAGTATTGTCAACCACAGTATCCTTTTGAACTGGCTTCAAGGGTTGGGGGTGGGAGACGCAGTTTTGCAACAATTTTCCTCCTTTCTCTGGTTTCAGTTGGTATTGACAGGTGGGGAGAGCTCACACCCATGGCCTGTCACTTGGGTGCCACAGAGTTGACACTCTCTCCCCTTCTGTGTAGTATCTACTGCTGGGTGAAGTCATCCACTGCTATGGGGTCAGGTGTCATCAATATGTGGATGATACCCAGCTGTACATCTTGACACCTGGCCTGCCAAGCAATGAGATCAAACTCCTAATCCAGTGCCTGAGACTGTGCAGGTCTGGAAGGGAAGGAACAGATTCAGATTCAATCCTGACAAGACAGAGTGGCTATGTCTGTTTGGCCCGCCTGGGTCTAGAGGGATTCCATCACTGACTCTCAGTGGGGCTGCAGCTCTTCATATGAGATTTGTGCACAATCTGGGGATCCGCTTGGATTCTCTGCTCCTGCTCATAGAGCAAGTGGAAGCTGTGGCCAAGGGGGTCTTAGCACAGATATATCTTGTGTACCAGTTGTACCTTTTTCTGGCCCTGGAGGCCCTTCAGACAGTCACTCATGTCCTAGTCACCTCATGATTGGATTATTGTAACATGCTGTTGATGGGGCTACCCTTAAAGACCATTTCAAAGCTACAACTGGCCCAGAATGTGGCAGCATGGACAGTGATGGGAGCATCATGTTATACCTGTGTCACCCTGCTGCTTCATAAGCTGCACTGGTTGGCAGTTGGCTTCCAGGTGCAATTCAGGGTGCTAGTTATCACCTTTAAAGCCATTCATGGCATAGGGCCTAGCTACTTGGGGGACTGCTTATGCCCAGTCGTCCTTGCCTGTCCAATTCAGTCCAGCAGGGTGGGTGCACTTCTGAGTCCCATCAATTAAAACATGTCATCTTATGCAACCCAAGAAGTGCACCTACTCTGTTGCAAATTTTGCCCTCTTGACTGATCTCCCCTCAGAAATTTGTGTGGCTCCCATCCTTATGTAATTCAATGTAGTTATTGAAGACCTAGTTGTTTTCCCAGGTCTTGGGGATAGGGTGATTGTGGAGTCCCCCTTTTTATTTTGTTTTGTTTTATTTTTGTCTGATTGGTTAATAAGTTGGGTTTGGGATTTTGCTCTTCTGGTCCGTATTTTTTATGTTGGTGTTTTAGTTGTAACCTGCTCAGAGTCATTTAGGAGTTGAGCAGCCTATTAATTAAGTAACTAAGTTCTGATATACACATACACTGAGGGATAGGACTTGTTTACAGGTTTGAGGTAAAATGCTCTGTTCTTCTCTGTTCTTGCCTATCCAGGAGATCCATGACTCTTGAGTTGTGATTCCGGCTCTCATAAAGAGAGGAAGTGCTGGTTCACAGTTTAATAAAAAGAAGTTGGTCCATATAAAAAGAGCTATTTCCACATAGGGGGGAAAAGTTCTCTTCATAGGGATTATCTGACCAATGGTCACTTTTATATGTGCATTGAACATTCAGTTTTCTATAATTGCTCATAATGCAACGGGGGAACAAGTTTTGGTCTTGAGGATAGAACCATCTAGTTGGAGCCCTGGTTGTAAAGATGGTCACATGTGCAGTGGGTAGGTGGAGTTGCTGCATATATATTTATTTGCTTTTTTTCCCCTCCAAAGTGCTCAACATAGCACACAGAATTGCCTTATCCATCCCATGGTATCCTTACAACAACCCTGTGAAGTAGCTATTGCTAAGAGATGGTGATGACTCAAACTTCCTACTGAATATTACGTGCAGGGGAGACTTGAACTTGGCAACCAAAGTTCACTATCTCAGTTCCAACACACAGATATTCTGAGGCAGAATCTGCTCCAAGCTGTCTCCCTTTCTTTCTCCCCCCTTAGAAGTTCACAGGGCTACTCTGCCCCTTTTCCTCCCCCAGAAGCTGGCGCTCAGATCAAAAACATTTTATTGCTTTCCCTGCTCTTCCTCTTTTCCTCTCCAACCTCTCTGGGGAATCCCAAAGGTTTTAAGGCAGAATCTCGGTGCCTTTTGTGTTCTCCTGCTGGCACATGCTGTCCTCAGGTGCCATCCTGGCTTTCTTTGCTGGCAGGAGGCCAAGCACCGTCATGCAAGCCATTGTGAACAGCCGAGAGAGCATAGTCTGGCACTGGTTCCAGGAACTCCTGGTACAAGCCGTGCCTATAAGCTTTATGTGGATGAGAGGACATCCTGTTGGGTCCTTTGGAAATGGGGAGGGGTGCCAGTCTGGTAGTACCAGTCTTGCCTTCCCCCTCAACTTTGCAGTCATGATGGTCTTTTTTTAGAAGCTGCATTGTGTACATGCTGATATGTAATGTTTGCTCAAAGATTGCACGTACACACTGCCAGCATGCGCTGTTGTTGGGCCGCTTCCCTGACAAACAGCTTTAATTTTTTCTTTCTTTCTTTTTACATTCCCTGCTGCTGTAATTCAAGCATTAAGCCTACATTGGCTTGAATGTACATTTCTGTTGAAATGCCTGTGAGGCAGATGTTAAAGTCCTGGTTCTTACTGCCGCATAAACCTGCATTGAGGCTGAATCACTTTGTATTACAGACGGGAGTTCACATCACTAAGGGTTCCATTCCATTTTTTAAAAAATACCCTCATGTAGACAAGTGTGTCTCTGGCGTGGGGGAGGTCGGGGCAAAATGAATCCATTCTCTCTCAGATGTAATTCTTCACACCAAGGGAATATTTCTCTATGGAGAAGCATTAAATTGTGCAAGTTCCTCCCTGTTGTCTGAGTGGTACAGTCCAAGCACAGGCAAATAGCTTCCTGGCTTGGGATTAGACTAAAAATGCAAGGAACCCTAGCAGAAAAAGAAAAGAAAGATGAAATTATATCCGAGATTCAGTTCCTGAATTTAGGTGCAATTGCCCTACTTAATGGGTAGTATTTTACAGGAACCCTAGATGCCCTTATCTTCAATTTCAAACCATTCCTGGCATGGAAATCTCACATTAGTATTTTAAAAAAATACATGTTAGAGACACATATTCCAGGTGCAAAACTGACACATGAAGTTCTTCCCACCAGAGTTGTGATAGCAAAATTAAAGCAAATTGAGCTTCCATGTGATCAGTTGACACTTGCTGCTGAAAGAAAGCCATGCTTTATTTCTTGGAAGTCCTTTTCAGAAGAATCCATGCTCTAACAGCCATTTTGGGGACTTATGGCTATGTATTATTATACAGTTCTGTTGCTGCATCTTTCTTGCTCTGTCATTTAACCCTGAGCGGAAATCTCCCTGACACTTGGGCTGTGCCTTGCTTATAGGACTTTATCTGCTACAACTTCATGGGGCCTTTTATCTAAAGAGGCCCATCCGAGGTAAACCTTGTTGGGTTTTTAGAAATCACTGAAACATTCCTCTTCACCAGGCTTTTAAAGATATTTTGCACACAAGCTGGTGATTTTTTTTAAGTGCTATGAAATTGCAGAAACATGGGACTCCCCCCCCCCCCCAAAGTTCAGTACTTTATGTATATGCAGGTTGCAAAGAGGTCCAACTGGGTGTCTTCCTTGCTCTGCCTTCTGCATTCCATTTAGCACCATTGCTGCCAATAAGATAGCTGCATGCAAATGAGAGTGCTGGGACTGGCAGATGATTGGTTGAGCTGCTGCTGAGGTCACCATTTGTTGTTGTTTTTGATCTAGGCCAAAAAGGACATTTTGTCTTTGGAATTTATTTTGGAAGGAAAAGCTAAAGGAGAGACATGCATTTCTGCACACTTATTCACTCTGTTGGGGGAGACGTGCCCATGCTATTAAACGAAAAGGAGTCTATTCCCTGTATAAGTTGTAATGATAGTGATGATAGTAATCACAATGAGTCAACATTTCACCCTGCTACCATAGGTGTTAAAATCGCCATGGACAGATGTGGGGGTGGGGTGGGAGAATGGGTACTAATGTGCAGAGTTTCTCATTATAATTGATCGTTAAATACTTGTGTTTTGTTTTGTTTAATGTCTCTCACAATAAAACATTCATAATACACAGATAAAAGAAAATGAAAATAAGCAGTCAGCAGTAAACATATAAACAACTGCAGAACCGATAGCATTGGTGGCAATACTTCATATCCCAAATGGTACTACTTCAGAATATTTCTGTTTTTTAATTGCTTGCAGAAAGCCACCAATGTGGAAGCAGTTCAGTTTTCCAGGACAGACTATTCCAGAGCTGATGTACAGCAGCAAAAAAGCAGCACCTGCATGATTCTGCCCCTCTCATGTGACAGAACTAGGGGACCCCTAGCAGTTTTCCCAGGACATACAAATCAGGCCAATGAAAACTGGAGAAGACAGTCTTGGTGCTAAGCCATGTAAAACTTGAAAGGTTGAAACAAGAGCTTGGAATTTCACACGGAACCCATTGGGCAGCCAGTGCAAGCCCTAGAACATACGTATCACATGCTCATATTGGCTTGTAGCAGCCGACATCTGGACTGCTGCATTCTGGACCAGTTTAAGCTTCCAAAAGGTCCAGAGTTTCCAGGTGGTCTTCAGAGGCAACATCAAGATGTTGTAGTAATCCAGACAAATGGTGATGACAGTGAATTACCATCAAGAGGTCTTTGTACTTCAGTTAAGGCTGCAGTTGGTGTACGAGCCAGAGCTGGGCAAAGATCCCCTGGGCACAGCTTCCATCTGACCATCAAGCAGTAGCTGCAGGTTCAGAAGGATACCAAAGTCATAGGCTTGCTCTTTCAGGAGTGGTGTTGCCCTGTCAAGTGACAACTCTGGAGACATCAAAGAACTTCAGTGAAGAAACAGCAACTCCATTTTGCTTGGATTCTACTTCAGCTTGCTTCATCCCATCCAGACCCCTCACATCCTTCAGACACTAGGTCAAGATTTTGACAAAATGTCCTTTGCGGCTTAGGATACCAGTGTTGGGCATCATTGGTGTACTAATGACACCGTACTCTGATCTGGTGAATGACCAGCAGTTTCATGTAAATGTTAGGAAACAGAGGGGAGGAACTGACCCCTGCAGCATTCCATAGAGAGTAACTGCTAGGCCATTCTCTCCTCCCCCACCTCTTGACTGGAACTGCCCATTGAAGAAAAAGCAGAAGTCCAGGTAGTCCCCACTTAACAATGGTAGTTGGGACCAGGAACTCCTTCACTAAGTGACGCAGTCGTAAAGCGCGATGTTCACATGACCATGCCAATTTACAATGGCAGTTGTGGCAGTCCCAGTTGCTGTCATTAGGCGAATCTTGAGCATCCCACATTCACATGACCGCCATTTATGGCCTCCTGTCAGCTTCCCCATTGACTTTGTTGTCAGAAGCCAGCAGTGTCAGAAGCCAACAAATGGCAGTCGTGACTGTGGGACACTGCAATGTTGTAATTGCAAGCCGGTTGCCGAGCACCCAAATCTTGATCACATGACCACAGGGACGCTGTGACAGCTGCAACCATGAGGACTCATCATTAAGTCCCCCTTGTTCAGTGCCATTGTAACTTTAAACGGTTGCTGAATGAGTGGTTGTTCAATGAGGACTACCTGTATTGCAGTATTCCAATTCTGAACTCCTGCCCAGGGTCAAGAAGGATACCATGGCCAATGCTACTGAAGGCTGCTGAGAAATCCAAAGGGATTGTGATGGGCACATTTACTCAATCCAGATCCCACTAAAGACTGTCCACAAGAGCAATTAAAACTGTTTCCATCCCATATCCAAGCTTGAACTTTAACTGAAAAGGGTCCAAATAATCTGGTTCATCTAAAGTGTTCCGTAGCTATACCCTGACTACAGTCTCATAACCTTACCCAAGAATAGGAGTAGAAACAGGTCAGTAGTTGTCCCATACAGATAGATCCAAGGAGATTCTTTTCAGGAAGGGAGTACCACAAGCCCAATGGCATCAACCTCTCCTGAAGAGAGGTGTTAACTACCCCCCATATCCAATCCATCATACCCCCCAGATCCCTTGAGGAGCCAGGAGGCATGGATCAAGCCCACAAGTGGCCAGAGGTAGCTGAGAAAGCACCATACCTATCATCAGAGTCTAGACAAGATGCTGCCTGTGTCACGGTAACAGACACCCCCCATAAGAAGTCAAGTCTTTGCAAATTGGAGTGACCATCCGCAGAATGCTGTGCTAACTGGTCACAGTGGGATAACTACCTGCTGCTCCCACCCTAAACATGGCTGCTGGCTGACAAGCCTGCCAGTACTATAAGGGAAAAATAACAATACTTCACCTCACTTATTTCTCCAGCATGGAATCAAACTTGAATCTGTATCTGTGTTATTTTCTTCCTCTGGCACATTAGGTGTCTCTTTTGCTGCTTTCTCTTCTGAAGATCCTCTGGGTCCATCTGGGATTGGCCAACAGATGGAGGTCTCTCGGGGCAGTCCCATCAAATGCCTGGGTTGCTTTTTCCAGTGGCTAACAAGAACTGTCACAAGATCACACATTGGAAAAAATATATTCTTATATAGTGGATGAGCCTTGAAATCCTTTCTGTTAGTCAACCCTTCTGCATTTGAGATGACGTTCAGGCTTAATCTGTGTAGCCTTCCTCTTCTGGAAAATGATCTCCCTTGCCCCCAATCCTCTTGAAATTGAGGTGGGGAGAAAGTGATATTGGGGGCTAAGATGGTGTAATTATAAACAGAGCTGGATGAGTTCATATAGCTCAGTCTGATGTGAGAAATTCATGTATTCACTTTGCTTTATTCTCTGTCTTTTCTCAAGGAATTCAGGGCAACTTATATGGGGATCTACCTTCATTTTACCTTCATATCAACCCAATGAGGTAGATTGGGTTAGAAGAGAGTTACTAGCATAGGCCCTAAGAGAATTTCCTTGACTGAGGGCAGACTTCAATCTGGGTCTCCCTTGTCTTAGTCTAACACCTTAACCCACTACACCATACTAATTCTTTGAAGTACTAAACCCTTTAGAATGGAAGTAATGAATTCTGTCCCTTCCCCAATAGTGTTAAGAATAACCAGCTTCTTTGGCTGTCCTATTAATCAGATTTGAGAGGGGTTTCTTGCCATAAGGTGGAAAGCAGTGCCACAAGAACCTGTTGAGTAGAACATTTCCAGTGGATCATCCCTAGGATTGTTGGATTTGTCAGATTGACTTGTTGATCTTTGTGTTAGAAAAAGACCATATAAAGTCTGATAATTTGAAATAATTAAAAACCAGTCTGCTGGTTGCCGCTGGATTCTGTGTATATGTTTGTTTATGTATATGTGTGCCTATATATTTTATCAATTAAAAACAAGTACATGTTGTTTAGAGAAAAAAAATTATATTTTAATAATGAACATTTCATTTTTCCTAAAAGTATTCTATTTACATAAAAATATATCTCAGACATATATGCACATATAAATTATATGTGCAAGATCATTTTTTTTCTTCAGCTATATCCAATTGCCTGAATTTTTGGAAGAATTATTATCAGAGATTGCTAATATTTATTTCAAAGATTTTTTTCACCAAGAATTTAATTTTTTCATTCTGAATCTAGTTCTTTGACTAGGAAAAAATATTCTGAGGTATTGCATGCTATACTCAAATTACTGAAACCTTCAAAGGTTCACAGGATTTTTAGCAGTTAATTTAATTTAATACTATTGGGTAAGAGACAGCTTTGATAGATTTTCTTTGATTATTCATTAGTTTCGGTCAGCACTTCTAATTAGTAAATCATCTGGTTTTTAAAAAAAGCATTCCGTACCATATTTATCCAAAAAGAAGATAATACGGAATTTAAGGTACCCCAGGCACCCCTCCCACAAAGGAAGGTTAAATAGGAAAACCTTCATCTGTTTCCATTGTGTATTCCTGGCAAATCTATAACAATCTTTAAAGTTACATTATTTGGGGAAAATCCTAATCTTCCTTTCAGATGAATGAAGTATGCCATCCAGGTTCTAATTTATAAATTCTGCACAGAAGCAAATTGAACACACATACACAAAGTATTGACTATAGTGTAGTTCCAAATGTTAGCTGAATTGGGACTCTGTTGTTTGCAATAGCAGGAATTTCCAGTGTTTCATGGATTTTTCCTCCTCCCTTTCCTAAACATCTACAGTTAAGCTGCAAATGGTATTAATGTAACTTTACATCCTTTCTTTCTATTTTCTGGATCCAACAAGGTATTACCTTTAGGCTGGGGGCTTCAACTGGGCCAGTTAACTTTGGATAGGCAATTTCCTTGAGTCCTAACCTACGCTACAAAGTTGTCACAAAGTTAAATGAAATAATCACCCTGAACTTCTTGGGCAAGTATAAATGCCAACCTCCCACTTCTTTTTAGGGCAGCCATAGATCTCTGTGCAAAAAGTATGGGCTGGATTGGGTTGGGTTAGCTTCCTTTAAGTGATTGCTGGTAATTTAACTTTCCTTTTTTGATCTCCTGCACATACTGGCTTGAGGTGAGAACAATGTAGTAGGACTCTATTACTTGTGCAAAGGATAGCATGGGAATCTTGGGTCAGGAGGGGGTTAGCCATGCATATGTGCGTTAAAACATCTTCCCAACCCCTTTATCACTTCTGCTCCTTTCAGATAAGTCCCCTTGTACTGTTCACACCTCCTGATTTCTTAAAGACTGTAGGATAATGCAAATGCTGCAACATGAAGAAAGAAGGTGAACTGAGCCCTGCCGATTTGGGAAAGTTTCGAGGCAGGGGATTGCAAAGGATAAGGCTTGAGCGGGTGATCAGGAAAGATAAATTGAATGTGTAACATTTCAAATTTATGACACGTTCTCTCCTTTCTCTCTTCTCCGAAGGTGGCCGGATGGGAAACGTAAAAGAAAAAGCAGCCAATGTTCGGTGAAAAGCAGCATGTCAGGTAAGCATCTATTCCAAGCATGCAGATGCTCAGAATTTTCTGACCAATGCGCTTATCTCTTCTGTGATACTAGAGGAAAGTACATTTCCTTGTAGTCCTGCCAGCAGGATAATGAGGAAGTGACTCACTTTTTAGGATTCTTTCCTCTTCTGTAAGAACGTGCCTGTTACTTGGTAGAAAATGATCACATCCAAAGAAGATAGCACCCTGACTGGCTGCGCTTTGTGATAACACCAGCAGGGCTTGGTGGTTCTGTTTTTCCACTGTCCTAAGCAGGCAGTAAAATCATATCGTTTGGTGCCCCTCAGAATACCATGCGCAGCTGGTAGTCACAGTTCTGTTTGGCTTTGTTGGTCACAAATTCAGAAGGTCTGGCATTACCATTTGCAGATCTCCTTGAAGATTTAAGGGGATAGGAGCTCTGTTAGCTTCGTACCCTTATTTGTACTCCTCCACCTGAAATCTGCAAAGGCAAGTTTCAGTTATGTATTGGGAGTTTCAGCTGTGGTGCTGTAATCTTGTTTTCGTTCTGCTAAGCCGCACCCCAGAATTGTTTTAATTGTAGAATCATAAAGAGGAAATTAGGCTTAGAAGTTTGTCTTATCTGGCTCTTACTGTGGGAGGCTGCTCAGAATTGGAAAATCCATTCACAGCATTTGCACACTTGTCAGGTCTGAATAGAGCCTCAAGCATGAAGACTAAACTCTGTACAGCCATATCCCTTACAGAGCAATACTATAAGTGTTTCAAACCAGGGCAGTAGTGTTAGTGAGTCAAGCAAGTGAGTCAAGCCTCACAGAACACTAATAGACAATAGGCAGATTTGCATGCTGTCTGAGGAAGATCTAACTTAGAGGAATTGTTCCTTCTGAAATTCCCCTTAAATCACACTATTAATTAGACTTTGGTGGAGGAACAATTATTCCAAGGGCGTCTTCTTGACAATGTGGTATGTAATTCAATAACACAGTACTCCAGAGGACTGGAGGAATGGGAGAAATTAAAGGAGAAAGGAAAAACTGCTTTGACATATAAAGATATTGCTAAGGTACCCCAGTCCAAAAAGCACAATACCCTCAGAATGTATCCAACTTTGACTTGAATCTTTTGAGGGTTTTTTGATGTTTCCACCAGTCCAGAAAAGGCGGTCAAAGGGCAGCTCAGGATATCGGATGGCAAATGGCAAAGCCTGCGACAGGAAGATAAACCACTGAAGAGCTGGGGGGCGGGATTCAAGAGGTGAGGCCACAGTGGGTCATGGGACAAGAAAGAATCATGTGTGGACTGGTGAACGTGAAAGAACGCCAGACCAGGTCTTTCCCCTTCATGTGATTTTTTTTCTGTCCAGTCTCTTCCTCCGCCCCCACAAGTCCCAGTCACAATAAAAACTTATTCATTCTCCCTCTCATTAAAATCTGCTCTTCAAAACTCTTAGTCCTTGAGGTTCTTTTTCCTGATGCAGCAGCGTGGTAATAATTTTACAACCATGAGGTACACACCCTGATCTTGTGAGAGAGATGGACCGGATCCACATTTTAGCAGCTGTGGTCCAGTTCAGCTTTTGAGCTAAGCCGCCCATCCACAATGTTTATGGATTGTGATTTTTTTTTTTAAAAAAAAAGGATGTTGAACAAAGAATATAAACCATGAGAGATAAAAGACGTATCAACAGAATAAAAGAGTAAAGTACCATTAATAAGATACAAATAAGTAAATATGGGATTTAAAATGTCATGGAGATGATAGTTTTTCAATTATTTATGAAATTATGAAATATTTTCAGGAAGGAAAAATTTAAAAATTATTACTTAACTAAGTTAAACTGGTTAACAAGACATAAATCGTTAAGTAAAATTATAGGCTATGATATATTAGATAATACTAGAAATCTAATTCCTAATGAAATCAAAATATAGGCTCTAAAAGATAGAAAACCCAAGTTTTGAGTGCGATACTAGTCCATGTATTAAGTTGCAGACCAGGAATGGTTGACAGTTAGATTGGAATTCTGCATCAGATTTACTTTTTAGGTACCAGGTTATTCTGGACGTATGTATTTACTCCCACATATGTATCTACTCCCATTTTTACTGCACACATATGTATTTACTCCCATTTTTATAGATCTAAAGAGGTGTGTACATATGAAGTATGTATTAGAAATTTCATTCTTTTCTCATAAAAATGAAAAACCAGTAGATAGGACTAAATTTCATATTCATAGACATTGCTATTTGGATAGACCATATTAAAGGAAACTCTTTTGATAAGAGTTTAGCACCTTTGTTGCCTTTTACCTGGCATTGCTTTAACTCAGTGGTTGCCACGTGGAAAGATGCTACTGCACATACAGTTGAAGACTGATCTGTATTAAAAGAAACATACTGCAAGGCTGGGAAGATAGAAAGAGGCAAAGACCCTATATCTGCACTAAAAAGGTTACTGGTTTTCTTTTGTTTCCCCCAAGAATCTGGCAAGTTGTAGTTAGTTTCCTCTTTAGAAAACTCTTCTCAGTTTTCTCTGCAGAGAATGACTGTTGGGTTTAAGTTCATAACGTACTTGGCAGGGGACAGTACAGCAGAAAGGAAGCAGATCTGACTTATTTCATCTGTGAGGAGACTTAGGGTCAATGGGAGGCTGGCTATAGCCTTACCTCCCAGGAAAAATGTCATCTCAGGGCTAAGACCAACCTGACTTCATTCCTCAGCCAGAGAATGAGTAGCTCCTGTCTTGCTCTTTTTTTAGTTCTTTCCTCATTCCTTTTGTATTATGTTCATTAGCTTACAACACTGCAGGCAGAGATTATCTTGTCTTTTAATATATCTACAGCACATAGAAAATGTATGAACTTGGAAAGTTTGTGATTAGAAAACAAATCATTATACGTAACATCATTACTTGTATGGGTATTTTATGGTAGTCTCTTTTAACCTGATCCAGATATGTTGGCCTCCAACTCTCATAATAATGGCCTCAACAGCATGGCTGAAAGCTCTGTTTGGGGGAAGATGTGTGGAATTTATAGTCAAACCCATCAGGTTGTGGCTGTCTTAAGGACTGTGCATGTCCTTACTGATTTACAGGTAGTCCTTGTTTAGCAACTCTTCACAGTTACAGCAGTGATGAAAAAGTAACTTTGTGACCAGTCCTCACATTTATGACCTTCACAGCTCTGTAAAGCAAAGGAAAGCTGAAATAAGATAAAGCACATTCATGGTTTCACTTAGCGACTGCTTTGTTTAACGACTGAGTAGCCAGTCCCAATTGTGGTTGCTGAACAAGAACTATCTGTATTTATTTGAGATGCAAGACCAAAATCATGCCTTTTGAAGCCTGGTATAATTTGCCAAATTAAAAGGTAGTGTTTTTTATCTGTGTTTGAAAACACGTATGGTGTGATGTATAAATTTTCTTGAGATGTGCCTATATGAGTACAACTTACGGCATTTTACTTGACCTGATTTCAGTTTTTAATAATCTTTAAATTATATGTAATATATATAGAGTAAAGTGGGATATTATATCCAGTGTGAACTTCAGAAGTAGAAGCCCCAGTGACACTATACACATTATGTCATTGCAGAAATCGCACATACTATGCAATTTGAATTGGCTGTGCATAATTTGTGTCATTTGCATGATGACATCATGATGTCCATAACATCACTTATGCCACTTGCTCCCAGCAGTCAGTCATGCTGGTGTGAGGAGTTTTTGGATGTAATGTGCTGAATTACATGTATCCAATTAATTTAATGCAGCTAGTGAATGCTCAGCAGAATTATATATGACCAAGCTCCTTTTCAAATACTTAAAATAAAACCATTAGATCAGAAGATGTGGTAGATTTTTCTTTTGCAGGATGTTCCAGCATTAGCATGTTAACTTAAAAGGAGCTTGGTTAATTTAAAAGGAGCTTGGTCATATGTAATTCACAGTGTGCTTAAGTATATTTGATGATGTAAAGATATGCACTAAAAACTTGCCCCCAAGTTTGTGATCAAAAGCTATGATAAGGCAGAATTGCAGATTGTGAGGAAGCTTATAAGCAAGTTCAGCTAAACATAAAATGTTTTTTAGAGCTGCTTATAGGTAGCAGGAAAAAAGCTTGCACCTGAAGCTTTGCAGCCATTTCTCTTTTAACACTTATATATGCAATCGGAGAACCTGCAAAGGATTCTGTACTGCATATCTGAGTTCAGCCCTCATTTTTGTCCCATGCTTCAAGCAAGTTGTCCAACTGTTTATTCTCAAGTATTAAAAACATATCCCACAAGTCACTTTTCACTTAAAAAAAAAAAAAAAAGACTTGCCAAAATGTTTCTTTAAAGTTGAAAAACAACCTGCTCCAGGTTTTCTGTTTTGGAGAAATGGGACAGGAGAAGTTACATTAGCGATATCATAGCTTCCAGTCAATCAGCTTCTGCAAATACTGCCAGGGTTGTCTTATAAGGTACATCTTTTGTCAGGTAGGCATCTTGCAAGCCACCATTTGTAGACATAAGATCAGTGTATTTTCCTGTGTAGATAGCCCTTTAAAAATGTATTACAAGTGACTCTCAATCTAACTGGGAAGACTTCCATAAGATTTTATTGCTTTTATACATTCCAGAGAATTTAGAATGTCGTCTGGGAGCCAGACCAGAAAATGGAATTTCTTCTTCTCTTGGAGGTCATTTGTCCTAATACCAAAATGATGTGTGACCAGATATTTTGTCTACATGGGTGTGTGTATCCATGTATAGGAAAAAATACATACAAACTGCCAAGTATTTCTCTAGGAATATGTTCATTAGGCATGTTTAATTGGCAGCAGTTCCATTGTGAAAAAATGGCATGTTCGTGGGACATCTGCATGTGCTTTATAGGTGGGGGTTAGTTGGGGAGTATGCATTTTATACACTAAGGGATGCTCCAATACAGAAAATGTAATGTGAGAATCAGCCCTTGGCCATCTCTAGGAACCAAAGAAGCTCCATAGTTCATGCAGCAGTAAACATGTAATAGATATTAATGGCATGCTCATTGCAGAAGAGCATGCAGTTTCCTCTCAACAAAGATGGACATAATCAGATTTCAGTTTCATGCATGTACATGCATGCACACACATATGTGCATACACACACGTTTCAAGACATGTGTGTCCTTGAACCTTTTTGTATATGCTGGGTAAAGCATGGAGCTGTATTAAGAAAATCATCCTGATCTGAGCAGTTGTCTGCTCCTTCCTTAACCCTTCCCCACTTTAATTTTAGAGAAAGGGCCTGAAGGGAAATAGCACACAAAACCGAGGGAGGGAACGTGACTGATAGCGGAAGGCAGAAGAGCAGATCCAACATGTAGGAAAGCCAAGAGGGCTGGAAAGAGGACCATGAAGTGCAGTGGTGGGAAGCCATTGCCTGAGGAAGCGGGGAGTGCTGAGCATTGCCTGCCAACCCAAGATGCTTTGTTGCCTGGAGAGGAGCCCACACAACGTACCTTTGCACATCCGTAGGGCCAAAACCTGCTGCTGCACTTTTCCCCTTGAAAAGCACCAAACACCTGAAAGAAAGAGTAGCAGAGGAAAGAGCCTGGTTGAGCCCACAGCTGAGTGGGAAACATTCTCAACTGAAGCCAAGAGAGGTTGTGTCCTGTTGGTAGGAAGAGTGTGTACAACTGAAAGAGCTGTGGAGACTACAGGGCAAGCAGGCCCAAAAGGCAGTTTGGATGGTGAAAAGGTCATTTATTATTGAGCTGTTTCCCAGGCGATGCAGAGTTAGAGGCCACCTTCTATGGCTGTAAGGCAGCTGCCTGCCTTCCTGTCAGAAGAGAGGGGTGTGACTTCCCTGCCCAACCCCTTATTACAGCCACAGGCAGAGCAGTGCCCTTTCCTTCAGGACTGGGTTATCCATGGTTCATGTGCTTTTGCCACAATCCTAGACAGGTGGGGCATTGTAAAGGCAGGGAGGTGGTGAGTGGGGAATGAAAGAGCACAGCTGGGAGAGGACATGGTTATTTCATATTGATGGGAAGAATCATCAAAGTTATATGAATGGGGGGGGGGATAATTGGCAGGGGTGGTGGTGTCTACTGCTTTCTTCCCCTTGCCTAGAAATAAAGGGCCCTTGTGGACATACATGGTGGTTGTGTTTTCCTCTGCTCCTTATCAGTATTTCAGAAGCTTTGGGAAAAAAGTATTTCAGAAAGGTTGGAAG